GGTGATATGGGGTACTTGGGAATTGTAGTTATGCAAGGCGGGAGGATCAGGGGTACCTCGGACTTACCTCCATTGTTTTCGGCGTATATACCTGGCTGGCCATGCTCATGGTAACCACTGAAATCCCTTATACAGTCACCAAACTGGCTGCAAAAGTAGGAGAGGAACTGCTTTGGGAGACGAAAGCGAAGAAGCTCCCTTCCTGGAGAAACCCATCCTGGCAAGGAGTTAGGGCAGCCTTCGTCTCTCTGATCTCCTATTTGCAAAGCGTGTGGAACGTGGCAGAGAAATTATAACACAAGTCCAACTTTTGGGCTTTAATGGATGAGGAAACTAAGGAGAAACTGCAAAGAGAAACTAAGCAGTTCAAGGGCCGGTTGCATGTCACGTCTATACCTGCCGTGCCTCCTTTTTTTTTTTTTAGTATGATGGGATGGTTCAAAGAAATGATAACATTATTCTAACTTCTGGGGAAATGTCTCCCAGCAAGGAGAAACAAAGCACTTCAAGGGTCTATTTGGACTTGTACTCCGTTTGCAAGGAGTGAACCATTCACATACGAGGGTTGAATGAAAAGTAATGCCTCCACCTTCGTAACTCCTCAACAGATCGCAATACTGGTATGCGGCAGGTACTGACTGGTTTAGTAGACTCTCCTCTACAGTTCCATTTTAGCAGGAAGCCTTAGCATTGAACGGTTGGGTTGTTAAAGTGCCAAGTATGGAACCCTGCGGAGACAGTCGGTCAATGCGACTTAAGCAATGTGCAGTCATTGAATTCTTGACAGTAGAAAGTGTCATCTCAAGATCTTTATACTTACTCACCCAATGACGCATGGAGCCCCCGGTGGCGCAGTGGGTTAAACCCCTGTGCCGTCAGGACTGAAGACTGACAGGTCGCAGGTTCGAATCCAGGGAGAGGCGGATGAGCTCCCTCTATCAGCCCCAGCTCCTCATGCAGGGACATGAGAGAAGCCTCCCACAAGGATAATAAAAACATCAAATCATCCGGGCGTCCCCTGGGCAA